TTACCATTTATAAAAATTTGAATTTTTAATTCCCCTTTTTTACTCCTTAATTTATCTGTAGTTAGTAACGCAGAGACGTTTCTAGTACACGTTTCAACGATTTAAAAACGAATTTTCAGCATTTCTGTAAGTAACACAATTCTCATTTATAGAGAAACAAACCAGAACGATTAGAAGGGCAGCAACTGAAAGCAACTTGGAGGTTAGCGAAGCAGGTGAGTGACCTCCAATGCTTTCAGATCGATACTCCATGTCTGGAGGACACGTGTCTGTATATAATAGTGTCGGATGTGTTCTCTTCACTCCACGATTACTACTTTCTGTTATGAGTATTCCAATCGATACCTTAGATATCTTAAACTTAATGCCCACCAAACATTAGAAAAATATCTTATCTCTAATTTATCCAAGCAATTATAATGCTCTAACTTAGAGATATGTCGACCCCGCTTGGATTAATAATGTATAAACATCCTTCGAAGAATAATAGAGCGAAGTTTATAAATAATTGTCGAGTAATTCGACTTGTATCCGTATGACTTGTATCCATGACCTTTGGATGCTGGAGGATGCGGAGGAATGATGCTTTAAATGAAACTAGAAAGATGTATTCCGTTCGATGTTCTCTTCGTTTAATTCGAATATATACATTCAAATAATTTTATAAACATCTTAAATATATAATTTTCAGTTTAGTGAAGAGCGGAAGTTTTCAAGGGGCTAAATTTATAAATAATTGTCGAGTAATTCGACTTGTATCCGTACGAAGCCATGACCTATGGATGCTGGAGGATGAAGAGGAATGATGCGTTAGATGAAACTAGAAAGATGTATTCCGTTCGATGTTCTTTTCTTCCTGCTTTAATTCAAATATATATGTTTAAATAATTTTATAAACATCCTAAATAAATAATTTTCGGTTTAGCAAAAATGAGGAAGCTTGCGTGGAAACGTAATTGGAGGAAATTAAAGAAAAAGCAGAGGAATAGAACTCATATATTTTTTGATATTTGATGATTTTCAATCGATTCGGCTGTAAATGGTACGTTTATTTTTCTTTAGGAAACAACCAACATCTCACAAATAAGGAAAAGATTCCCCAGAGACGTTCAGCATTGGTGCGTTCATTAAGGCTCTCGGTATTAATGAAATAAATTTGATTCTCTTACTGATTGTTTGGTCTATTGTGTATTTTTGTGCAGGATAAAGGATTTCCATGTTTGTCTCTGATGTATAATTGAATGATTTAATGCTCTTTCCTCTTCCAATCAAAACTATCTTTTGTGGCCCTTGATGCACGCTGATTATTTAAGAATTAAAACTTACTAAAACTGTAATTAATTAATTAATTTAAATTTTCAGCGTTGCTTAAGCTTATAGCTTAGGATAAAAATTTTATTGATGCTTAATATATTATACATATTCGGGAAAGAATCCATACAGTCAATTCCATTTAATNATAAAAGAGACTTACGACAGAATAAATCTTTTAAAGAATACACAAAAAATACAATAATAATAATAATACATGACCCACTTTTTCTTTGTCAATTACTAAATAGAGGAGAGCAAACATTCATCTAAGTTTAGGACCTCGCATTTTTATCATTATTAGGTAAAGGGAAAGGGCCTGTTATATCTTACGGCTTAAGTAGCATTTTCCAGTATATAAGAACTCATATTTTAAGTGAATTATAAAGAATTAAAATAGCATATTTAGATAGAAATGTAATTTAATATTCTCCAATTTCAGGCAATAAAGTTGTTTACAAATTCACATAATATATTTTTTCTTGATGTAGAAATAGGTTCTGAAAAAATTCACTTTGTAATGTTTAAACATTAATAAACTTAAATTCAGGCCACTAAAATCGCATATATTTCATAACCTAAGCATTTTTTCTTATTTTAAAAGTCAAATAAAGTATACAAGCATCCTTACAATAGAAAATTATAGATTTAAAAAAAATTTAGCTACTTAAATCCTTCATAATTATGTTTTTATTTATTTTACTGTACAAGAATAATGACATATACTCCGTTTTTATTAGTTCAAACAATAATTCTTATATGGTTGTGCATGCCATTGAGTAGAAGCCTCTGCACAGAACTAACTTTACTGAAGACTTCATTACCCAACTCAGTTGCTGTATGGCAAACGTAGAAGAGAAAAAAAATATAAGAAAATAAGAAAAAAAAAGAGAAAAACATAACAATCTCCATGAATAGAAAACCGCAACTCCGTAATGTGTTCGAAACATCTTTACAATGGGTTGTTTGGCTGAAGGCGATGTCGTCCATCAAGTACTCTTAGGGCTCATTACTACTTCTTCAACTTTATATCAGTTTCTTTAGTGTTTATTCATTTCTATCTTATATAGATTTAATGCTGGATCTATCACGGAATTCTCTACTTGAGTGTCATTCCATGTAAGGCCCATCCGAATCTAGCAACAAGCATCTTTAATTAACTTGCAATATTTAGTCTTCCCCCTCTTTTTTCCTTAACTGAAGAGAAGAATATTCAAGAAACATTTAAGGAAATTGTGAGAAAAATAAAGAAAATGGACGCGTAAATTGATTTCTCTAATGGAAATTCTCTATCGGGACGTATATTAATATTCCTTTGCGAGACGATGTAGAAAACTTTATAAAAATGGCCGAAAATCGTTATAATTTTTAAGTGAAATTGAGGATAAAACTTTAATAAATTTGCGCATTTAAAAATATTCTAACGTAAAATTTTTAATGCATTTCTTTTGATTTAAAAGAAAGAAATTTATTTATAATGAATGAAATTTGCCTTCTTTTGTATAGATTTATGTAGATTCTGTTAGATTTATGTAGGAAAATTGGGAGAAAATTTATAAATAAAATGAAAATATTGCTAGAAATTTAAAATTAAATCACGGAAAAAACCTATTTAAAATATTCTAATTGATATATCTTAAAATATATTTCTTTATATCTATAAGAAGCTAAAAAAAGTTGATTTTATAACCAATGAAATTCACATAAAATTTTTAGGTTTATACAAGAAAATCGAAAGAAAAAAAATAAATAATAGAAATTATAGGAAAAAACCTTAAACAATTTAATTGATATATCTTTAACGTGATAGTTTATATATTTCTTCAGATTTATAAGCAAAAATTGATTTTATAACGAATGAAATTCACCTTTATATAAGGTAACCATAGTGAAAAACATCTCCAAAAATATTCAATTGTTAAAAACAAACTTATAGAATTCGGCGTTATTATCTTATCACTAAATATAATATTCAATTCATTTTTTCCGATTTCTTTTCTACCTTCCGGCCAAGTGATCCTCCTCCTCCTCCTCCCTTCTATCTTTCATATCTATATTTAAGCTTGGCTTCTTTTTAACATTCATGTCAATACGTTATAAAATTCTTCACTTTTAATATCACTCATTCATGATATTACTATTACAGATGCGTTTACAGGATAAGATTTTGCTGTTCGATAAAAAATACATTAATATTCAAAAAACAGAGATAAAGAGTTGCTAGTTTTCAATACATAACTAATTACGTGCCAGGGTTTTGGTTAGATAATTTGTTGCTGGCGATGTAAATAATATTTTTACGATAAATTTTGCTATTTTTATGCTAAATTCTATCGATTTCTTACCTCTTACGCCAGTTAAAACAAACGTAATGTCGTAGGTTAAGCGCTGAAGGATAGTAAAAGTTATGGTAGTTGCGACTGCTTAGTGTAGGTTTCTACGCTCTTAAAACTTTTTAAACTGAATAAAACAGGTATAAATCCAAATAAATAAATAATTGAATGGTCTGTAAATTTGTTCCTTAAAGAGATACTAAAGTGCAGAGTTTATAAGAGTGCTGCATGAGTCTCAACAGTGCTGCAATCCAATAGCATCACTTGGCACAGTTATAACTAAAGATAAAATTCGAAGGCTTCTTACATTAGATAAATAACTTCTTGCCACGTATTTTAGTGGATAAATACGCTTAAAATTTGTTTATTTTGAATATTTTCACGCTCTTAATGGCGCTTAACTCGCTTCTGTAGATGAAAGAATTTTGTAAGTTGCGCTACTTTTAATCTTCATCCAGTTAATATCTGCATTATATGAAATTACTTGATGATAAATGAATTCTGGAAGGTTTCACAATAAAATTTCATAGATATTTCATGAAAATCGAGCAGAATAACGCTTTAGTTTCGACAAATCTTTTTAATTATATCTCAAACTTTCTATTAAAAAATTTCATTTTCCTTAAATCTTCCACGCTAATTAACCCATTTTTAAAGAAGAATTTCCGTCTTACAAATTTTAATAAATAGAAAAAGAAAAAAAAATTATATTTTGAGAGGAAGGAAGGAGGAGGAAGAGGGAGGAAGAAAAGAAGGAAAAAAACAGTATTATCCAGGCAATTCCGCTAGAAAATAAAAATATATTTTGTTTTCCATCCACGGTTTACTCAATATAAAGTTTCTATTAAGGTGCAAAAATCCTGACAAAACATTTCACGAGATCGTAGAAAACCGATTTGTTTGCAAGCTTTTCTTTAGCTTTGCAGACAATCCTATTTCGATCGAGAAAACCTCTCCTTTGCCTCCATCGTATTTACTAACCAAACAATGAAAACAATGACAAAGAGGAGCATGCAAAGCAACACAACGGGCGCATACAAAATAGCCTCGGAATTTACAATTAGCAGTAAGTTATTTCTGCAGATTTAATTTGCATTGTGAATAAAAGAGACTTACGACAGAATAAATCTTTTAAAGAATACACAAAAAATACAATAATAATAATAATACATGACCCACTTTTTCTTTGTCAATTACTAAATAATAATAAAACCCTTCGATAACTTATTACTCCGGTAAATTAATTAATTAATTAATTGTTTTTAATGAATATTCCACGACGTAAGACAAAATTCGCCGGTAAATTAAGTAAAAATACGTATACAAATTAAATTTTTTAAATTATAATTAACTTACCTTGATTGTTTTGTTTTGTAATCTTAAACCATTTAACGTGTTAATCGCTTTTTCTGCATCTTCGGGACGTAAATAGTTGACAAAACCGTATCCCAAACTCTGTCCTGTTAGATAAATATATTATTTATTAATTCTTTATGTGAAAAATCGAGTTTTATTATATACTAAACTTATATATAATGATATATATAGGCCTGTAATGTATATATAAGCCTATGAGCCTGAAACATCTAGATCAGGTGCCATATCTTTTACGCTGAATTTCTCTATTATTGCTATATATATCTATATATATATTCGTCTTTGTTCGTATCAATCACACTCGCTTTGAGACCGACTGACATTCCTACCTTTCTGACCAATATTAACATCCGCCATATCACGCAACCTGACACAGTACGCATCCGTTGAATAAAGACATTCCATTTTTGCCATCTTAGATATCCTTAGACATGTCCAATTCGGTGAAAATAAATGCTATAGGCACTGGTAAAAATAACACGTGTACCCTTTTGCCTAAGACTGTTTCCCTTCTACCATATTTACTGCATGATAAAGTGGATAAATATATATCGTCGAGATAAAGTAGAGATGGCAATATTTCTGCTGCTCATAGGCGTTAACGATTAGAGTTTTAGAGAATTATCAGGCAGGTTTAGAAGGGACACATTCGGTAAAAATGCTGAAAATACAATTATAAAGATAAACTTAATGTGAAAATTTAAAGAGATAGAGATTGCAATACGTTTTCTGGTGCTTACAGGCATTAATATTTAAAGTTTTATGGAATTATAGAGTTAGAGTAAGGTATATCCAAGTTATTTAGAAGGGATACATTCAGCTAAAATGCCGAAAATATGTGTATGATTATAAAGATAAATCTAATGCGAAAATTTAGAGTTAGAGATGCAATACGTTTTCTGGTGCTTAGAAGCGTTAATGATTAGAGTTTTAACAAATTAAAAGGGTCTATAAGCTAAGGTAAATCCCTCCTAAATAACATCTCCGAGTTATTTAGGAGGGATAAATTCGACAAAAATACCGAAAATATAATTATAAAGATAAATTTAATGCGAAAATTTATATCGATTCGCACACATCACGAGAATTCTTATTGAATTACAAGAATGGCGAAGAGAGGGAAAAAAGTATAATTTTTTACCACTCAAATTGGTAGAATATATTCATTTTTTTTTCTGACCTAACGTTTCCTTCTCATGATCATAAACTTGTTTAATTTATTACAGTACGTAATGAATATTTAATATAATTGAATGTATGGTTAAAATATAATGATTAGACGTTTGAAGTGCCAAAGGAAGAAGTCTCGATAATGCAACGTCGTGACTAATTTACTCAGGAAAAATGTAGGGACTTAAAAATGGAATAGACTTCCATTAAGAGGAAGATTTCTCTAATTAGACATACGCCCTTTTGGTTAATGATTAGACTGGCGTTAAGAACTATTCTTCCATCATCTGCGGTGGCTTAACATCCTTAATTGTTTGTTTTGCTGTGCAAGCGCAACGTGTAATTGCTAAAATACATATAAAAGTTTGAACACGAATCGAAAAAAAATACCCTCGCAGTACACAAAACATCCAAATAATTAAAATTCTAAACACAATACACGCTGAGGAATCTTGAGGTGCATTCTGAAGAAGTTTAACCCCTCAACTATCTATGGGTAGAATTTAATGCAATTTCTTAACATTTAGAGGGAAATATAAAGTATCAGTAATAAGAACAGTATGTGAGAGTAGTATTGAGTGCACCTCACCTATGGATAGAATTTAATGAATTTTCTTAATACAGTATTTAGAGAGAAATATAAAGTAACAGTAGTAAGAGCACTATTGAGCACATCTCACCTATCTATGGAAAGAATTTAATGAATTTTCTTAATATTTAGAGAAAAATATAAAGTAACAGTAGTAAGAGCAGTATGTAATTTTTAGAAAAATATAATCAGAAACGATTTTCAATGAGCACCAACGGAGCAAAATGGAGGCATTATGCTCGAACGGAGAATAAAACGTCAACGTCAGACATGAAAGGAAACCAGCTGCTGATGATGGATGTTTGATTATCCATTGTTAAATGGCGATTGCATTTTTTATTAACTTTTCGTTAAGTTTCGGAAGAAACAATATGACATTAGAGAAGGAAAAATCTGCTAATGCATTTATTATCCATTCATATAATATTGATACCCGTGATTAGTACAACTTATCAATATTAATGTACTCATGTGCGACAAACGGAGTGGTAAACCTAACTTATTTTAATTACAGAAATTTTATATTTTTGTTTGCTTCTAATCTAAAAATATTTATTCCGTCCGCATCCCTCCTCTTATTATCATAATATACGCGTTTTGTTTGCATGACTCCCTCGTTTAACATAATTTATTCAATTTTTCTTTAACTCACGCCACATAATACGGGATTTTAAGTATACGTTGACATTCCGTAATTGTTTGTTTGGTTTTTTCTATAAATTATCCATAATTTATCTATGGTAAACGAGAGAATCTCGAGTGCATTCGCCTTTTGTACGGATAATCAGTTAGGGAAATTTATAAGCAATTTTAATTACTTCTAAGCACTACTTAAGTAAATTATCCTGGAAAGTAATTTTAGAATCGAAACGACGACGACTTTTGAATTAAAACTCATCGGATTTTATCTTAATTATCATTATTTCGGCTTTAATCTATATTTTAAAACCATGATAATTATTTACGAATAATTATAATTAAAGAATTATCTATCCGTCTTACCTAAACAGATTATCATAAATTAAGTACGTGGGGAGGAAATTTTTAAAGAAAACGGCTGTGTGTCTGTCCAATATTATTATTATTATTATAATTATCCAGATTTTAATCGTATTAAATTTATTTAATAAGATTGATCTCCTCGCCATACTCCAATAATTATCTTAATTATCATTGTCTGTGATTATGAGTGTAAATGACTGCAACGATTTCTCGATTACTATTACGAATAGAACCATCATCATACAAGAGATATTATGAAATGTCTCATTAATTATCGTATTATTTATATATCAACAACAAAACTACCTCATTATCACTACATTATAATCAATTATTTTTTAATTATCAATTCTAAAAACGTCGTCTCGAATACTCTAGAGGATGATGATAAAACTTTTTCCCCTTTTTAAGAATTAATAACTTATTTAGGATTATATAAGGTATTAAGAGTGGTATACTGATTATTAGTCCACTTACTCAACGTTGATACGTGACAACATTCCTATAAAAGGAAGAGAGAATTGAGAATTCCTACCATGTCTACATTTTTTCTGCATTCTTCTCTTCATTTTCTTTAGATCCATTGCTCATGTCAAAGCATGTTTACCTTAGAGACAAGCATCTCTTTCGCTACTTCATTAGGAGGAATGTTGGTACCAAAGTGATAAGTTGTGACAAGATTTCTTTGCCCAACTCTTTCTGCGTTTATATTCAATATGCTGTTTATCTAATGAGAAGTAACACGATCCAAAGAAGAAAATAATAATAATAACAACAATAATAATAATAATCTGATATTACGTGTATATACAATACGTGATGTATATATGGGGCATAAAAATATTTTCGAAATTCTCTCAGATAATGATACTTTTATTTAATGCTGGAGAAATCTACTTTTGAAATTTATGTATCAAACATGCGAAGGAAGATATTATATTTTGGAATTTTATAAAGGGTCTAATGTATAAATAAATTCCATTTTATTCTTCTTCGTAGAAATTTCCGGTTGTATTTTCTTTTCTGGAAATATTCTGTTGGTGGTTTTTATAAGCTGTATATATAAAAAAATAATCATTTTTTGGTATGTGTGTGTTTTTATATATATATATATATACACACACACCATTCGTTCTATATTGCTGTACTGAAAATTTAATAGTGTAAAAATACAATTTACGCTGAATATCATTTACATGATAATTATTATCTAAAACGCTCATGAAATGAATTAATGCTTCTATTATTTATATTTTCATTTGTAAGAGGAAGCTTGGTATAATGAATTTTTGAAAAATAATAATTTACTTTTGACTGTATACACTCGTAAAATTATATTTACACATTAATTATGCTTAAATATAGGCGTAATATCCTACAAAATCATGTATATAGGCCTATACACTTTAATTAAGCCGTATAACACAAAAATATGCTTATATTTTCCTATAAAATCATATTTATGCTTTAAGCAAGCTTATAAAATATAAGCTAATAAGCTAATTTTCTATAATATGTTGTTTATATAATATGTTTCGTATAACTCAACTTAAATTCTATTTATTTGCACATTGATAATGTTGACAGATACTGGAGAGTAACAGAGAAGAATTAATTAGTAATTTCTGATACAGAACTATACAATTTAAGGACAATATATATATTTATTTTACTGATTTAATTAATAAAATAAAAAATTTAGCCATATAAAGAATTTAAATTATATATTCTATTGATAGAAAGAACATATTAATTAAATTCTTTAAAATCTTAAACCAAAATATCAGTTTTTTTATAAATTATATCTTTAATATTGATATTTTAATGGTATAAATGGATATTAAAGACTAACACTGCCGAGTTAATTAGAAATGTTGCTAAATTTATCACAAAATATTTAACATGGGAAGAAGAGAGTGATCATAGAGTTACAACATATTAAAAAAAATAATTTAATTTATAAAAAAAAA